CACGACACTGTACTTTCATCTTGGTTAATTAGTTTTGTATTCTTCAAGTTAATGATGGCATATATACTGTTTTGTTCTAAGTGTATCAGCCAAATGTAGTCAACTTATTGTATTAGTACGTATAGTAGTCTGTGTTATTGGACATAGTGTACAGCTAAGGGTTGAAAACATCATTAAAAAATGACGAAGATTTATCATCACGAGTTGTATAGGTCGAAGAGCTTCTTGCAGCCAAACATTTATCCCACAGTGTTGCTTCAGCACTGAAACTATGCGATAAATCATATTTTTCAAACATATTTTTTTTACACGTTTTTTTTTTGATGTTTAGTGGGTTCATAAAATTTAAAGGAGATGTAGTCATTGAAGTTTATTGAGACCGCTGCTAAACTGATACTATATTGCATATTATTTTACCGCCCACTAAAAACAGATTTACAGTGAACCAACAAATTTACGTACTGCAAGAAACTTGGTAGTATGCCATTGGTTAGTGCATTTAATTTGTTTGATGCAATCATTGTGCCAGCTATTTCTTATGATAGCGATATGGGAGTATCAAAATTCGGAAATCGAGAGGGTACAGACAACATTTTGCAGGTATCTACTTAGTATCGATGTTGGACGAATGTGGAAGGCTGCCATTATGCTGTGGTTATTTCAAGCGTTGTATCTTATATTGGTTAAAATTAAATAATAAATAGCTGGAACCCCAAAACATGTTATATCATGCTTAAACGATTAGACAAGACAGGCAGACTTACTCGGGGAACCCACATACAAATCTCCTGTTCAAATATGGTTTCGGCATTGCCTGGTTGCAGATACTGCAAATTTCTTAGGGATATTTACTCAAAGAATAAAAAAATTGTTGTCAGCAAAAATGGCATGCCTCAATTTCACAATCATCCAGGCCGTGTACTTTCGGAAAAATCAATGTAGTATTATAACCTGGGAGATTTATTGGCAAGCAATTATAGACTAAAATATATACTGACGAGGTTTCGCTGTTTTGGCCATGAACATAATGTTGAATTAGGCAGACACACACCGTATATCATATAGCTCTGTATCTTTTAAAAGTTTTCAAGCGACGAGATGAATATGAATTCAGCTTAACTTAGTACCATATGTTTACATGGATGTTGTATTGTTTTTAAAACGTGATATGCACTTTTCTAACCATTACATTTTGTACGATGTCGTGAGGCCCTGTACAGAAATAAAATTACATAATTGACTAATACTAAAATGAATAATTGTAGACAGATTTCGACATGAAATTGTGTCACTCTCATGTGCGCTAACATCTGCGAAGAGCAAAAAAGCTCGTGAGTAGCATTCTACCTTAAAATGCTTGGACAATAATGCTAAGATACGTACAGTCTTGTCTTTTTTGTGTACAACATTTTGCCGTAATGATCAAGGGCGTGGGTGTGGGTGTATTTGTCTGTGGGTGAGGAATGGCCTAGGACCCCTTCTCTAAAATGGCAAAATAGTTCAAAAATGTTGGAATAACTTACCAACGTAACACAAAGTAAACCAATTGAATTTAAAACCGAGAATATAAGAATGTATGTAACAGAGCTCAAACACACTTTTTGAATATTATAAAATTCACACGTTTAACATCAAATATATCATTTATTGTTGTTTTCGAACCCCCTATTCAAAAGTGCTGGCTACGGGCCTGAGTGACGTATTTGCACCACGATATGGCGTGTTACGAAAGAGAGAAGTGGAGAATACTTAGTTGCTGGCACAGTATAGGAATGTATTCACTCTGTATTTAATGCCACAGTCGTCAACAGTGGCCTCACATTCCGTAATCAATGCCACAGTCCCGAACGGCGGCCGAAACTGTTCATTCAATGCAAAAGGGGTGAACAGTGGCCCAAAACTGTTCATTCAATGCTAAAGGCGTGAACAGTGGCCCAAAACTGTTCATTCAATGCAAAATGCGTGAACAGTGGCCCAAAACTGTTCATTCAATGCAAAAGGCGTGAACAGTGGCCGAAAGTAAACATATTGCACACACTGTTCAAATACTTACTTAGTCTGTTTTTAGACTCGTGTGCTCTTTGGGCGTCCACGCTTGGATATTTGATTCCATGACAACGGCGTTGATACAGGTTGAACATAAAGCAATAAAAGAAAATCGCCAAAGTAAACAATCTCATTGTCTTCACCACGACAATGTACAAACCGGTTCCTCTGCTTCACATGGTGGCTAAAAAATAAAGGAAACAGACATATCGATACTGTCTAGCAGCACAATAAGTGACGTGACTGCATGAACTATTTCACTGAGCTAATCACTTGGTCGTGCCCCCCCGGTTCGTGTCATCGCATACAATGTAATTTGCTTTCCAAATTCAACCCTATACAATATTGGAATGACTGTCATAAATACGATGATCACGTGACAATCTAATCTGTCGCTTTTAGTGCAACCTGTTGATGGTAATCGGCTTGTCACAGCGAAGTATTTTTTTAAACTACTAACACGTATTCACCCACAACACACAACCTGTTCGCCGTGATAGTTCGTGTTACAGTCGCCATTTTGTGATTCCTTTACACTCAAAAAACAAACAGTTTGTGATGGTATCGTTCGGGTACTGAGTGGTGCTTACCGCAATGACCAAACCATTAAATTTAAAAAGATAAGAACAAAAAGTCTCCCGGTAAAATATACTAAGTATTCTCATTAAAGATTCGTTAAATTGACCTACTTCAATCGAGTATTGACAACAGTGAGAAGTACACAAGGCGAGTGTGCC